AACTTTTTCCGTTAAAATGAATAGTTTTGAATTTAAAAAGTTGTTTGTTGATTGATGAGTCCATACCTTCTTTAAAGAATATTATTATTAAACTGAATTACTTGTCGGTGGCAACAACTAATTTATTTCCATTAGGTCAACATTTCTTTGGTTGAAATGCAGGGCGTGCGGACGAGGTGGCAGCTTAATAGACCAGCTTTACTAGTAACATAAACTCGCTTCTAGCACAATCACAAATAAAAAGTTACACACATAACATATCGTCACTAATTTATCTTAAGTGTCATTTTAGGATCTTAGTTAGGTCAGACGACGAATCACAAAATATAAATCTGAAATGTAATAAATTACGAATCTTAATCGTATCCCTAAAAATAACTATTTGACGCTGTTCGATGATGCTAGTAGCTGTTCTAATAACTATCAATACCAAAGGTATATTTGTTACACATTTAGAGTTGAAATTAATTAAGTTCTTAGTTTTTTATAGAAAAAAATACAAATATACTTCTGTGAATATGACTTGTATAATTAAATAGTAAAAATTTAGTATATATTATTAATTTATTAATTTATTAAGTGGTCAAGTGCGGACTGGCATCATCCTTATTTAAACACTGAGTATTTTCAAACGTCAGTGGTTAATAACTTCTTGTGTCATATTCCTCCAGCTCCTGTATTCTCTGCAAATAAATGTTTCTTTCTTTCTTTCTTTCTCAAAGGAAGGATCCTCCGACCAGGCGAGTGATCATGCCTGGCGGGCCGTTTCCCAATGGTTGATGTTAGGAAGTTGAATATATGCTAATCGACGAGAAAACTTTTCACATTGCGATACAGGGTTAGTAATTCTCATTCAGAAGTTACTCCGTAGTTCGGTGTGTCTTCGTTAGATGGCGCTGTAGTATGTTTCTGTTTCTCAAAGTCTCAAAGTAGAAAAAAGCCACACATGTAATCCTAGAATTCGAGGGTGTAGATACATATCGGACTAGTATAATATCTGATACTAAATAGCTCTCAGAAGCCAGTAAAAACTCCAGGAGGCTTCTGTGCTTCTGAAAAGAGCTTAGTTGGATTATCTAGTCAACCTTACCTCGACGTATAAAGGACCGTTATTGAGTCTAAATGCGGAACCGGAGCCCACCACCAATGCCAATACCAAAAATACATAACGACTCATTGAAATTATTTTTTTTAAACATGTAACATAAACAAATTAACAAATAGAGAATATCCCATTTTATAAAGTCACTTGATAATATGCAAAAATATATATTTTAATATGCATGTGTTTTTTAAACAACTGAGAAAGAAGATTGTTTTTTAAGGTGAATAAGTTAATTTACTATGATTTGGCACGGTGTCTTGGAGAACAAGTCATAGGAGGAATATAATCAACTTAATAGCTAATAAAATGTTAATAGTTGGTAGCGAGAAACTCATCACAAGCAATGAAGCAAGACTTAATAAATCTGATGCCTTTAGTAATTATCGTGGGGGGAATGTTTCTGACATATTGCTTCTGAGTAACACAAACTTAGGTACGAACCTGCAGATTGTGTTTTTTATATAAAGTTTAAGTTCACCGACGGAGAGCTAGGATCTTTGTTGACGTTTGAAAAGAAATTCCTTAAGAGCTCACTTTCTCCTGAAAAGTAATGTTCCTTAAAGCTCAGTCTTATCTAAACAAACATTTTTTTGTCTTAACATTTTAAAAATGTTTACGTGCCTGTTGGAATGCGGATGGTGTCTTATTGTAAGAGTAGGTTTGTATATTCATAATAATACAAATAGAAGCTCTCCATGGATCACCCAGTGGCACAGTATTTACAATGTACAATACTACTGCAGCTTGCAGGACAATTGTAAGTGTAATTGTATAAATAGGAGATCATTTAAAACAATGCGAAATGAACTTTATGTTGTTTACAATTAACTTTACATTCGAAGTACAGTACTATAACAACTTAACATTGAATGTGAACTACAGTTTTTGTAACCATATTGTACTATGTATCTTTTATATTATTAATATGCTTAGGAACTTGAAGAAAAATAAAACCGACAACCACGTAAATACAGGTAAATAAAACACGATCTATTACTGACTCGACCCTTGCCTCAAGGTTAAATTCTGTTTAACTATTGTTCCTCCCTTTGTACAAACGTCAAGACTTTTCTTAGCTTAGAATTTTCCGAGAGAAAATATTAATAATGTCACTAAAATAAAAATATATAGTTCAGTTTGTTCTTACCGCTGAACATACGGAATCCCTAATAAGGGAGGCTTATGGCGAATAACATCTGGGCCTCGAGGACGGCAAACACTCGGCAGTAAACACGAGGTTACAGTAAGAAAAATGCTTTTGTTTTCCAAGGATTTCTTTATATTTTGTCATAACTTTGTAGCTATAATACGGAGATGGTCAACTTTGCTTTGTTTCGCAGCAAAATATTTTATTTTTATACCTTAGATATACTGAGTACGCAGCTGCGATTGTTACTATCTTAAAACACAAGAAAAATATTCAGAACTTTTGATACAAGGAGTTATAAGATGTGCCTCAAGAATTTTCTATGATATTATCTAGGATTATATAAACTCACAAAGTTGAGATATTACATAACTTATCTCACTACAGTTTGAGTAGGAATTCGAAGTGACTTGAAAAGCAAGTAAGATAAGAAATCGTAAAATGAAATCAACCTTGTCCTCAGGGATCTTTGGTTACCAGAATTCCTTGTTAAAGTTACGCCATGTTGTAAAGTCTTGGACTTATGTGTTAGACTTAATCTAAATCTTAGTTTAAAACAGTGCCTTGTAATTCGAAGTTTCTAAAGCAGGCATTGTAGTGTTATTCACTATTTGTTCACGCAGAACCGTCTCGGAATCTTTGTCGTAGACATTTATAGTTACAAATTTTGTTATATATCGGATTGAGCTTGAATATATTTCTGTCTTCTGATTAGAAATAATGAAATAAATACATAGCCGTAACCAAATGGTATCATTTTAAACAGTAATTATACAGTGTTGTAAGTTGTTCCTAGAGTACGGTATAATTTAGTAAAATAAAAAAACATACTGCGACTTATGTATAAAAAAGTAATATTTTTTTAGGGAAATATAACATAATATTATGTTTATATAGATTCAGCAACATTTAAGCTAAATGTTATAATTGGTTTCGACCAAAAATATATAAACCTAAAAATAAAAAATAACATTATTTTTACAATGTCTGTATCCCGATTGCAGTGGGTGCCCCAACCGCGGACTCACGCAAATGCACACTTTTTTTCTTGACTAACTTTAATTTATAGGTTAATTTGTTAAACTGTTTAACAATATAAATTTCTGAATACTAACAGCCTTTATCCAAAGAAAACTGTACAATGTAAAAAAATATTTCAGTTAGTATCTTCCAAGTGAATCACGATATACCATAAATCGAACCCTTATGATATTTAATTATACTGATAGTACTCCCTTCTCCCGGTATAGGTACTTCGATAACAGAAAAGTCTTCCATAAATATCATCTAATACCCGTCTCGCTTCCCTCAAATAGACCATTGTGTATACAAAAGTATTTCAATACATTGTTATTCCTTTTACGTAGCCACGGAAGTCTATAAAGTTTCATAATGGCACCTTTGTCACCTTTATTAATGCCCACAGCGTTTATCTTAAGGGACTAAATTAAGAAATACCTTTCAGCGCATAAATCAATAGTTGTCTGATATATTGTTATCGTAGAAGGGGTGCGATATTTTATCCCACGTTCTGCACCCCGCTGCATCGCGATTCGGAGCACGCTTCACTGTCGGGGGAACCTAATTCTTCTCCTAATTTCGCACCTTATTGTCGGCGGGTGGTAAGAAAATGGGTATTTTTGATATAAATTCGAGACCACGCTTACAGGTCTATGAACTTTTATTACTCGTATATTTTGTACCTAACAAGTAGGTAGTGTGAACAATAGGCGGTAACTAGCTTGGAAGCTTTGTAAAAATAGAACAAAGAAAATGGGAAGTCAATGACACTACATGTTTACAACTTTCTTCTTTTGCTAGGCATTCGTAATAATTATAGTATACTATAAAACAAATTTTATCTTATCATGATACGACCCATGAAGAACAAATGTTTATACTGTATAAGTGGGAATATAAGAGGTAGAGTGAAGAAGTTGCATGTGTACGTATGCGACGGTAGTTAGGTACTTACCTTAAGGTGAAGTGTCTACTTGTTTGCCACTATACCATAAAAGTATTGCTCATGATCTTAACGCGGGCTACTGTTAAAAGGGCTTAATTAATTTAAGTGAGATTTAGCATCAGACCCATGTGAGCTAGGCTTTGGACGAATGCCGGTTGTTTATTCCCGTGTAAAATCACGCACTAAATCCTTACTGGATTTGATACACATAAACTTAAATTAATATGTTTAATTATCCTTCTATGAAAAGGGAGCTTAATACAAGCTACGAAAATGATATGATCACACTTTATGCGCATTGTTCTAAACAGTATATACGTATATTATAAGTCATGAAAAAATTTAGAAGCATATCCTATGCAATTTTACAACATGAAAAATGAAGAGCTTTTTTCAATTTCAATTTAAGGGTGACGTGCACCCTCTATGGGGCTTACCCATCACAATTTTGAACATCCACAAAATGAAGTTGGTAAAATATCTAAGACATTTGTCAGTCGATTACCTGAGGGGTGGCGCCCCGATAATATTCTGAATTTCCAACCCCCGAAACATGTTACTATGCTTATGAATATAAATTTACTTACCTATCTCACACATTTTATTTACTTTCGCGATATAAAAGATACTGTGTAAATGTGGGGCTGTTTCTATTATGTTTAATATAAACGAAATTTCCTTTATTTTATCTTGAAATATAAATTTTCCGGTATTTAGAGAATAGACGATTGTTTATGTCGTGGAGTAAACATTAAAAAAAGAAGTAACAAAAAGATTTTAAATTAATTTCCATTTCCATGCAGTAACAGTCCCTTCAGTGGGTCTTCTTTTACATCCACTAGACTGATAACTCCCCAGCTCCGTGCTACCTCATAGAACGGCTTCTGTAAAGAAATTGGAACATCTAGCTTACCTGTGGACTTCGACATAGAGCAACTTTTTATTGTACTAGCTCGTTCAGTGCATTGTTTTTTTTGTGAGAGCAATCATTTATCCCGTACACTTTAACATTTTAACCATTAACAGTAAAAATTACCATGATCATCAAACAATGTGGTATAAAATGACAGCAATCCAGCAGCCATAAGCAGCAGCGGCTCCGTGGCGCACAGTCCACGGTAAACTTTCCCGCTGACTGTAAGAGTGCAGGCTCGTGAAGCCACCAGCGTTCGAATAACGGAGGGTAGCCCGATACCCAGCGGCTTCTTGCTTGTGGCTTCAAGCGATGTCGAATACAGCACCTACAAGTCAAGCACACCAGTTAAGAAAAAAAACTGCTTACAGAAATTTCTTTCGAAGCAAGAATTTGAAATTTTGAATACCCCTGCTACACAACGGTGTTAACTTAAATCTGTATAATATAATGGCAATATAATTGTATTCCTCAAGGAATTTTGTTTTTTTTTTTTTTTTAATTCTGATTCTATTGTGCCAACCAGGACACGGCTTAGGTCTGCAAACATGGATATGAAAGTATTTTGAACGCCCATTTTGTCTGATATACCATGAAAGCATAAGTACTGAAGAAGTTAGTTTACTCAATTAAAGAACCAGTTATTATGCTACAAGGTGATTAATTAAAGCAAACATATTATGTTTTCTAATTTGTCACACATTAAGAACACAAGTTAAAATCTTATAAACAATGCATCATTTCTCTGACTTGCTAACTACCAGAAAATACGTGTTTCTTATGCTATCACTAATCACAGACAGGTATGACTGTTGGGATTTGAAAATCTTCTCTATGACAAAACCAATGTTTTTACTTACATGTACTCGTAGGTACCTTAATTCCTAACCATATATTAATTTAGTCTGGTAAAAAAAATATTGTACTATAAAAAAGTAGAAGCTTGTAAACCTTCAAAATTGTACTGCCTTATAAGCGAGGTAAAATACTTTCCGAACTTTGATAAAGAAAAGTCTTATGTATAAAAGTAAGTTCACTCAAGAAAAATGTTCAGAGTTCGTTTAATTATAAGCAAAGGAGTTTCCCATTATTTTCGTATTTAGATGGCCCTGTTATATTTAAGATAAAGTTTTCCCAAGTTGGGGTAAAGAATTTTAATAGGAAAGGAATTGTTAGGAAGTCGGTGCGGTGGTGGGTCAAAGCATTCCGGGTAAACGTTAACAATACTCGTTATAGTGTAAGCTTGTCTTTAAGTTCCTCCATCGAATTCGCCGGGGATTTCATCTTCGAGTGGTTCCCTTTGCTATTTAAATAACGGAGATATTTTCTTTGGAACCTCAGTGCACCTGAACGGAGATTCTTGTATAAATTTAATGTTTTAAATTCAAAAGCTTGTCTGTTCAATGTTTGTTTAACTAACATAACGTCTGTATATTTATGAAATGGATTTTCAGAGCAAATTTTATTATGTTTCATGAGAAAACATTCCTTTGTTAGATATTTTTATTTTAAGTTCTGTAGAGAAAATTACTATTTACGTTTAATAATGCGAGCTATTGAGAGATATTTTGCTAGTGGGGATGAGAGGGAAATGTGCCGCTGTATGTAATGTCAGAAATACGTACGACATTGTGCTGCACATTTTATACTGTAACTGTTTCTTTATAGATACATAAATGTAAATTACTCATATAAAGCTCAAATAGATACGAGCCTTCCGATTTTACATATCCTGTGGGCCTTATGAGGATAGGTACTGAGTTCCTAAGGTTAAAGAAGGTTTTCTAGAGGAGATAACTTAAAAGGCAGTTTCGTTTTAGACTCCTCTAGAAAACCTTCTTTAACCTTAGGAACTCAGTACCTATCCTCATAAGGCCAGAATAATCCTTTTAATATTATTATTAAAAGGATTATTCTGGCCACTGCACCAAAGTATCGACTAAAACAATGAAACAGTAAAATAACTGTCTATTACGAGTATGTTTGATACTTACTTAATTGGATAGCCGCCGATTTGATCGGTGTAGCAGTTTAAACATAAAAATATACATCCATACATAGGTCTGGGTGTATATAATATGTATGTATTTACAAAAAAAAGTATATATGTATTTATATCAGTTGTCTAGTACCCATAGCACAAGCTCTGCTTAGTTTGGGACTAGATGGCGTTGTGTGAATGTAGTAAAATATATTATATATTACATTATAGAGATCGTAAATTCATAACCCTTTATTGAGAGTAATATTTTGACGTTAGGTACTTTAGTGTTAATACATAAATGTAAAGGGGGAATTTATGTATTAAATACTGACTTTTAATGTTAAAGTTCTAATGTGAGCGGAAACAAATTGGAGACGTCCTTCTCTGTAAGATATGTTATGACTACCTTATGAGAATATAATAGTGAACTGCATATGGTCTTTGAATTTCTGAAGATAAGGTGTATATTAGAAAGTAATCATCACATTAAACGTAAAGGAATATACCGAAACAAATGATAGTCTGAGTGTTTAAAAAACCTTTTTCTTTAAATCTATGAGCAGTGATCATGTCTTACACATTGTTGCCACAACGCTGTTCGTCAAACGCAAACGTTGTTTTTAAAACATCCAATCTTTATTTTCAACTTCATAGCTGATACTGATACTGATAAATATAAACATACACACGAGCGCTTTGTTTAGTTAAAAAAAAATGCTTGCTGCTAAACTAAATTTTAATCACTTACTAGTTTTCTAATCTTTAAAAAGGGCACCTGGAAAAAGCAGCCGGATGGTATTTTTGGGACAACTGACATCTTTTGATAGATAGTAAAAAGTAGCGTATATATTCGGAGATACAAAAGAGACCTGATAGTTAGATAATAGAATTTTAAAAACTGAATCAGTAATTACTAAAAATTACCGTTTTTATCATTACTTAGATACAATCACCTTTTTTAAATTATTAATATATACATAGTAGAACATTGAGAATATTCAGACGGATCAATATAATACTCAATCTTACGGAGACGAACATAGAAAGTTTATATAAAAAGAAAGGTTGATACCCTACGCTTAAAGAACTAAATCCTTTTTATATTGAGTCCGTCATCTATGAAATTTACGATTATGGATACTGGCTGGTGTCATCTTTCCTAGTAGTAAGTATTTCAAACCAAATTTAGCGTTGATTTTGTTTTCATGAATAAGTTTTATCATTCATTTTCCCATTGCGCGATTTTTCTTTAATATCGCTGAAATGTTATCGTTATCGTTAAGAAAACGGATGAGAGACGCCTGAACGTAGCCGAAATGCGAATGCTGAGATGGATGTGTGGTGTGACTCAGATGGACAAGGTTAGGAATGAGTATATACGAGGGAGTCTGAAAGTAGCGCCACTGGATGAAAAGTTAAGAAGTAATAGGTTATCTTGGTATGGACATGTCATGCGGAGGGATGAGGAAAATGTAGCGAAGAAAGTTTTAGGTATGGGAGTTGAAGGGTACAAGAGGAGAGGCAGACCGAAGAAAATGTGGATGGACTGCGTGAGGGAGGATATGGCTAGGAAGGGAGTAAACAGTGAGATGACGCATGACAGAGTAGAATGGAAAAATCATACATACTGCGCCGACCCCAAATAAAATTGGGAAAAGGGTAGGCAGATGATGATGATCGCTCAAATGTTTAAAAAAATGTTTTTATTATTTTTGAAATGTATTTTATCATAGCTTTAATGTAGCACATACTACAAAAAATTGTGTTTCAATTTACGACAGAGAAAGCTCAGTGCGTTTTAAGTTTGATTATTCCCGAGACTTGGATCTTAACAATGAGCCTGTTGCCTTATAAAAATGAAAAGTCGACTACGATTGGTTAAAACTGTAGTGTATGCAATTTTATAGTGCAGGATAGTGGCGGTCTGCCTTGTTTTTCATTACTAAAAGTTTGGTATTCAGTATTTAAAGTCAAGAACCCGATGGTATACAAAATGAGGCTCTAAAAACTGGTTTTGTTCTGCTACTACACCCTCTTACCCACTTGTTTATCAAAGTCCTAGATATTGGTCAGGTCCCAAAAACAATGGGAGAGATCTGATATACACTTACTAAAAAAAAGGCGATACGAAAGAAATTAGCAATTACAGGCCTATAAGCCTTCTTTCGAGTGTGTATAAGTTATGCAAATCAATTCTACAGAGCAGAATGATCCCAAAAATTGACAAACACCAGCCGATAAAACAAGCAGGATTCCGTTCTGGCTTCTCGACGACAGACCATATACTTCGTCCTCTTCGCTGAAACAGGCGGTAAACTTGAAAAAACAATAAACTCGTTTCATGTGGAAAGTGAAAAAGTCGGGCTCAGAATAAACCATGATAAAACTAAGGTAATGAATGACAAATAGCAACACTGAGAAATAAAAAAAAAGTGTGGCATACCGTTAGACTACGTAAACAGCTATATACATATATCTTGGCAAAACAATATCATTTGGAGACAATAGCGAGGAGGAGGAAGTCAAACGCAAGGTGAGTATGAGTTGGAAAAGATTCTGGAGCTTAAAAGAAATCCTAAAAGGGCCTTTCCCCCTTCACATGAAAAATACTACCAACTCTGACGTACGGCTGCCAAGTGTGGATATACAACACAAAAATTAAATCAAAATTAGCGACCTTTCAGAAAACGATTTAAAGAAGCATAATGAAAATAAGAAAAAAATCAAAAGATAAGAAGCGAACATATAACGAAAAAGACAAGGGTAATATATGCTCTCAAGTACGCTCTAATACAGAAGTGACGTTGGTCAGGACATCTAGCTAGATACACGGACAAAAGATGGACAGTTGAAACAACAATATCGGCAGGACCTATGTGGAAAAGAAAAAGAGGCAGTCCAAGGAACAGATGGATAGACGAAATAATAGCATCAGCAGGAAAGGAATGGAGAAGCAAAGCTAAAAATAATTAAATATGGAGAAGGCTGAAGGAGGCCTATACCCAAAAGCCCCACTTTTGGGTATAGGCCTCCTTCCTTCCAATAACAGAATAAAATAATATAAGTAGTTTTGTAACGTAGTTGGAAATAAAAAGGCTTATTATTTTTTTATTATATTATTTAAAGGAAAAAATAGTGAATACAATCTCCCAGTTACTTCCAAACTTATTTATTTACTAATTACGGACTGCGTAGTGGTTTAAGCGGTCGTCACGCCGCTCACTACTACGCTGAGTGTTGTGGTTTGTGATCCCCACAGGGAACTACATCCACAAATTATTGTTCTAAATCTGGGTGTTCTGGAGTCCGTTTCATGTATTGTAAAGTCCCCCCCAATACAGGATATATTCCTAATATATGGCTTTAAAAAAAATGTATACGCAACTTAATACAGCAAGATTAAGTTTGTCATCGCTAAAACTTAAAAACATGTAACATGTATGACCATAAAAATGTTAAACCCAAAATGTAAGGGAAACTGTTTGTAACGGTAAACTTTATCTTAGCATAGTTAGGTAGTAGAATCTAACACACATTGATAATTCAAGGATACAGAAAGTTTTTCCTCAAAGTACCTATTAAGCACAATCTTCAGGGATTAATATTACGTAGGGTTAATAGCTGGTGGTTATAGCTTCCGGCCGAGGACAGCCTTTTACGCCATACTACTGAAATTTCCAACTCACAAAGGACGTGGATAACCTAAACGGAAGCAACCGTGGTAAGTATCTAGAGGGAACTGAAATTTTCATAAATAAGTAGTTTTCATATAGTTAGGAACGGCTGGGATTAAGGTTCGTGTAAAATGGTTATTGTTACATTTTAGGACAATTTAGGATTTTTTAAGACAGATTTTTTTTTCAGTAATTTCAATTAAATTTCTTGTTTAATGAGGATAATGATGAAAGTAAATTCAAATGACTTTTGATCTTTCTTGAAATGCAATTTTTTGTTCATTTTTATGAACAAAAAAAAAAAGTGCAATCTTTTAATACCTCACTCACTGGGTGTAAAGCAGCGGAAGAATTACTTTACACGTGTTGTGTGCGGCCGTAGTATCGCTTTGGTGTAATCAACCCTTGACTCGTCTATAAAAATTGCAGTAAGACTATGTATTGTTCATGATGAACATATAAACTTTTTTCACTAATGCTATAAAACTTTTATTCGACTAAGAATTTTCAATAACTGAATTTAACGTCTTCTATTTATCTCTAAAAGACCAATAACATATTATTCCACATGTTTAATTTCGAGACGAAAAAGTTAAGTCATAATTTTGGCTCAAAACCAATTCAACAACAAAATACCGGCCGCATATTTTATTTATTTATTTTATGGCTAACCAACATTTGTTTACACTGCATCTTACAATTTATTTACAAACTTATTACTAACATAAGTGTAATAATTTATTAAAGGTTAACACCGCATGCTTAGAATATTATAAAAGTATACAATGAAATAAATCTTAAATTAGAGAAATAATTATAACAACTTTTTTTTTTAATAATGACAATAACAAATTAGAAATTTGGTACAATGAATAAATAAAACCAATGCAACACAATTTTATCAATACACTCAATTCATAAATTAACCAATTTTATTATAAAAGTTGACAATAGTACTGTAAAGTTTCCCAATGTTATCGCTATAAATATCTACTATGTCACTGCAGCCGTTGATTACTTTACAAAGTCTGGGAATTGGCGAGTTAGCACCCAAAACTGTTCTGCGCAAAGGTGGGTAAGGTGGATAAGGGCGTGAGAGTGTTTCTAGGATATCTAGATGGAGCCCGGAATCTAATCAGGACAAGCAAGCAAGGGCTACTAATTTGATTACGCAGAAGGTTAAATCCAAACAATGCATCCACAATCATCCTCCGCACCGACAGTGGTTGCATCCTGAGGTACTGCAGACGTGAGTTGTACGACGGCAACTGTTTAGTTTTCCCCTCGCAGAATGCAAGGTGCCAAAGAAAACGTTTCTGAACGCGCTCCAGTCGTGGCATATGTACAGCATAGTGAGGTCGCCAAACAACACTACAGTACTCCAAGATGCTCCGCACGAGACTATTGTATAACACAATCTTTGTTTTGCTACTCTGAAAATCTCTAGAATTACGCAGTATAAATCCTAACATTCTAGATGCTTTCTTAGTTATGCTATCTAGATGGAATGGATATGGAATCTATGCAGGGGCACCTCAGTACCAGCTTCTCCCTCTGGACCGCATCCAACGAAGAGCGACTCGAATCGTCGATAGCCGATTTGCGACCGGCTCGATTCGTTGGCGTTACGTAGAGATGTAGCTTCACTCTGCATTCTCTATCGCATATGTCATGGAGAGTGCTCCGAGGAATTGTTCGGACTAATACCAGCCGGAAATTTCCGCCATCGTACCACACGTCAAAATTTTCATCCTTATTACCTGGATAGTTGGTGCTCCACTACTGTGCGCTTTTCGAGACAATTTTTGCCCCGCACAACCAATCTGTGGAACCGGTTATCGTCTGCGGTATTTCCGGACCGATACGACCTTCAAACCTTCAAGAAAAGAGCGTACTCCTTCCTAAAAGGCCGGCAAAGCATTTGTAACTCCTGAGTTGCAGAAATTCATAGGCGGTGATGGTCACTTTCCATCAGGTGACCCGTCTGCTCGTCTGCCCCCTCTAACATAAAAAATAAAATGAATGAATGAGAAATGTGTTCTGATTTATAATACCATTCCAAAAGTAAAGAACTATTAATATATTTTTATGAATAAAAAATTTACTGTCGTAAAAATTAAAATATTAGGTCTTTACATATGAA